CCTTGGGAGAGGGTGAGTCGAACACACAGCGAACCCGATAGCCAAACACACAACGAAAACCGATAGCCTGGCGCCCGGGGAACACAAACGCCCACCAAGCACATGCAGGGGGGATCCTTTGCACAAGCACCGCAACCGTGATCGGGGCGAGAAGGAGGCACAACAAGTAAGTCTACACAATTTTTCAGGTTTCACAGTAATTTTTCATGCGATGAGCGGAAAAGGCGACGTTCGTGCGATGAGCGAAAAAGACAACGTCGAACGCCCGCCCGAGTGTTTGCTGCCTTATACGTACATCGAAATTCGAAGAGACAGAACGCAGACAGACGGTCACGCCTTGGGTGTCAGCATGGCGTGAGGTTCAGAGTACCCCACAGGAGTGAAGGCATATTTCGGACCCGACCGCCTTCGGGAGGGAGTTATGTTATAAAAGTATCTAACAATGAAACAGAGGGTGGGGTTCGTTTCCCCGCCCCTAACCCTCCCCCTATCCCGTACACATCTACCGTTACGTAGTAATCGTTGTACAGGGTGTACAAACTCGACATATGCACACTCTAGTCGTCGTCGAAAGCGGCGCCATCCACCATGGCGCAGGAGGCAGCCAAGCCAACGCGTGTGCAAAAACAGCATCGAAAATGCGCAGAAACGAGAAGACAAGGTCTCCCTCCGGCATGCAAGCAAGCATGGTTGAGAGTTTTCCGGGTGAACGCGTTTCATCATGTGGCGGTGTGCCGGTGGTGGAATTGTTACTTGTCCCACCTATACCAGGTTGGCACAACAGATATTACTTGTTATATTGATCTCCACAGAAAAAAGAGTCTGGGATATTTGCACAGGTAAGATTAGCCATGAGATGCATACTCCGAGTACGCATATGGTCTGGGAAGGAAACTATATACAACTAACTGCGGCGTTCAACAGCTTAACAGCGTAAGATATCCAGGTGTTCTTTCGTTCTTAGAAAAAATACAAAGACAGAATGCCCGCGTTCTAGACATAACCACCGCAGTCGAAGGGAATGGGATGAGGTACTTTGTTGTTTTCGTCTCGAGAATGGCCCGTCTGTGCGGTATGCCGTCTCCGAACAAACACCAGTCGCAACGTCGCACCCACAGCGAATATAAACACTCCGGCAGAGGCAGCGGGAAGATGGACCCCCCCTACTATGGTAGACCCTATTATAGAGCGACTTTCAAAGCTCGATTGCTCGACAACCAAGATTCTCTGTACCATACCGTATACCGTACCGTGGAATTCCGAAAGAGTCGGTAGACCGACTTTCAAAGCTTGATTGCTCGACAACCAAGGGGGCGGGGAAAGGACCCGGTACGTGCACGGAAGCCCTCGACGATGTGTCTCCAAGACCAATTGTTGGGGTCGGCACCATCTCCATGGCTGTGGAGCAAGCGAGCTTTGACAATCGGTCATTATTGTAGGGGGGTGCCGCCGAAGGAGAACACAACAGGTTGATGTTGCTTGTTCAGGCAGTCACATCACGCTCATAGTGCGACTTTCTGCACCAACGCTAACGCAGGAAATACCCTCACAAGGCAACACTGCCTACGGCGGTTGCACACCAAAGTTGAGCTGCTGCTCTATCAAAAAGCTGCAACAGAGCCGCTGCAGAGGGTCGCTCGCTCGGCAAAAAACACACACACACACACACACACTCTCACGGGCGGGCAGGCTAAGAACACATAGGTGGCATAATCTATCTCACAGCCTACATCTGGCAGACAGTGCCCTCGACCCTTCGACGGCGGTGATATCTCCTTCTCTCACGGAATCACAAATCTTTTGTTTGGACAACCGGCGTACAACCTGGATTTCCTGCTACTACTACACAGTACAGTAGTACTACTGCGGCGGCTGCGGATACTGGATTCCTGGACGTGTTCACCTGAAGGAAAAAGCCAAGAGAACCTGCGAGCAGGACTTGGCTCCCTCGTGACTTCCTAGTGGCTCGCTAGGTTCGGACGAGGGTATGTGTGGAGCTATGGCAGTCTATGTATTGATGTTTTGTTTGATTCATCT